CCTGCTGCCTGCCCTGCCGTGTCTGGCTGCCTCTGCGGTGGGCCTCGTCCACCTCTGTGGTTTTCTTCCCTGCTAGCGGACAAGTGGGGCTCCGAGGAGGTGGCAGCTTGGCTGGAAGTGCTCGGTTTAGGGGAGTACAGAGACATTTTTGTCCGGCATGACATCCAGGGCTCTGAGTTGATCCTGCTGGAGAGGAGAGACCTGAAGGTACAAGCCCCCCTGTGGCCCCTGAGGGACCCCCAGCCCTAGGGAAGCACAATGTCCTCCATGCCTCCTCTCCCCATCCCTGCACCCAACCCCAGCGCTGCAGGGCTGAGCTTGTGCTGCTTGCTGAGCTTGCATGCAGGGGCTGGAAGCAGGGGAGGGGGCTGGCCCTGGCCCTCGAACTTGCAAAGCTCTGTACACCTGCCCAAAGCAGGATCAACAGCACCATGCCCTCTGCTGCATGCAGGCATGGGACCGTGCTTGCAAGAGGGCAGAGGGCTCCTAGCAAGGCCTATGGTCTGGCAGGGAGAGCATGGGGAGCTGGGCTTCGCAGCCTTGTCCTCTGCCCTGCAGCTTCCCTGCCAGCGAGAGGCGAGGGCTGGCCCCCTGCAAGTGTGTCAGCTCCCCTCTCTCCTTCCTCCAGGACCTGGGGATCACCAAAGTGGGACACATGAAGAGAATCCTCCAGGCCATTAAGGAGCTCAGCAACCCACCCTAGGCTGACAGCAGGGCAGCACCCTAGCCCACACGCTGGGTGCTTGCCCATAGGGACCAGGGGTCAGGCAGGGGGGCTCAAGGTCCCTGCCATGCCCCATGTATGTGTGGAGCCCCCCTGCTTGCCTCGCTTTGTCTGTTTGTCCCCCGGTGTCCCTGGAACTGCTGCTTCTCCCCAAGCCTGTGGAGCTGGAAACACTAAATCGGAGGTCTGGCCCTGTAGGCAAGGCAGCGTGACCCCCAGTGCAGCCCACAGCAGGGTCACTACAGGAGTCTGGGCTGCCATACTTGTGCCCAAGCCGGGGCCAAAGCAAAGATCCTCCTTCCCCACATGGGTATTTAAGCTATGTAAATATTTGGAGAGAAGATACTCATTGCTGCTGCTTGTGTAGTGACATTACTCAGGGGAAGGCGAGGGGTGCATGGAGAGTGATGGGGAAGGTGAGGGGTGTGGGAAGGGTAACAGGGACCTGGCCCCTTCCAGCCTTCACCCCTTCCTGCTCCCCATCATGCAAACCACCCCCGGCCCTGCTCTCACCCTCTGCCCCAGCACAGCAAGGGGAACCACAGCTCAGGGGCTTAGCATCATCTCCATCACCATCCCCTACCCCTGTCCCAGCAGCCACCACCAGCACATAAGACAAACACAACATTTTATTGACAGTTCCACATGACTTTTTTTTCCCCTCCCCCTCAGTTAAAACAGCTATTATTTATGTACACAGTGCTCCCCTGCCCGAGAGCACCCAACTATTTACAGACTATTTACAGAGACAGGGCTAGCAGCTCTTCAGTTTCTCCTCGAGCTTGAGCATGTCCATGGGGGTGACTTTAGCAACCTCAAAGAAGACCCTGGAAGGAACCATGTTGGCTTAGAGCTTAGCCACAGCCATGACACCCATCCACCAGGGCCCCCCAGCTCTCTGCAGCACCCGAGGGTGCATGATGGTGGTGCCACCCTCTGCAGAGGGGCAGGCACAAGGCAGAGACCCGTGATGCTCACCTGTGCGAGTACTTGGTGCGCACGGCCTTCAGCTTGTCGTGGGGCTGGTACGTTAGCAGGAAGTTCAGCCTCTTCACCAGGGGATGCAGGTCCTGGGAGCGGTACCCGCTGTAGTACTCCAGTGTGGGGGTCTGCAAAGGGACAGTGGGGATGAGCTGGGTCCTCTCAGTGACGGTACAGCCATCATCCTCCCTCTCCAGCCCGCCAAATCTGAGCATAGCCCCAGAGCATCACTCCTGCACACCAGTCTATCCACTCCTGCACCCCTGTGGTGCCTCAGGGGGGACAGCAGGTTCGAGAGGTGCTTACCCAACCACCGAGGTTCTTCATGGTGAGTGCCAGCAGCAGGCAGCTGGCAGCCAGCTTTGAGGGGCTCTCCCGAGCATAGTCGTACTCCTGCAGGGTCATCTCGCAGAGGAAGCGAGCCAGTGTCAGCGTCTCCATGGTGGCACGGGCGCACTGCAGCCGGGCAGACAGGGAAAGGCTCAGCGTTTTGAGCAATGCTGCTTCCCCATCCCCCAAACCTTTTTGGGACCTAGAGTGCTGCCCCTGGGGCACAGGACACAGATCCCACACCCCCCAGCATCCTCAACGTGTTGCAGTGGGCCTGGACAAACCCTCCTTGCTGCCAGCTGGGAGCAGGGCTGCAGGGACACACATCGCCACCCCGGGGAGCCAACATGGGGTGCCTGGAGGGACCTTGACACCAGCCCACCCTCCTGCTGCACCCACCTTGGCAAAGCGTCGCAGGAACCGGTAGGGGATGGGGATGTTGATGTCAAACTGGAGGGTGCTGAGGATGCTTATCTCCATAGCAATGAGCTCTTCCCGTTTGTAGGCGTCATCGCAGATGTAGAGGAAGTCGTCCACGCATGGCGGGCACCGCTCCTGCTGGGGCACAACTGCTCAACACCCTAACAGGGGCTTGCCCTGGCAACGCTCAGGAAATCCTACCAGTTTGCAGGCCCTGCAAGGGCTCATGCCCTGCCAGACCCTGAAACAACTGTTACAACTCTCGGTGGGGCTTGTGTGTTGTCTAAACTGCCCCAGCCCTCGGCCCTAACTCCAAGCCTTGCTTGCATGAGGTGAACTCAGGTGTCCCGGTGGTCTCTGCAGAGCAGAGAGGAGCCAGGTCTCCAGCGACACCGGGAGACAGGATCCAGCCCGCTGGGACTGCATTTGCAGCCCTTGGGATAGAACGGGTAACAGGGACACACAGGCCACCCCAGCAGCTCTCAGGGCAGCAGCCTGGCACCGCAGGGACCTGGCCCTCTCCAGTAACCCATGAGGACCAGAGAGGCACAGCCCCCTCTGGCCCAGCACCCCAAGACAGCACACAAGGAGTCACCTCAAATTTGGAGGCGATGAGGATGGCAGTGGAGCCGATGAGCTGCAGCTTGTCCCTCATGCTCACCACCTCCACCAGGTAGTGGTCCACCAGCTTCACAGCCAGGTACAGTGTCTCATGGTTCAGTTCAAAGTTCTCCTGCAAAGACGTGGGCAGGACGGGGTGTCAGGCAGAAGGTAGGCTCGCCTGGCCCATCCAAGGTTCCCTCACAGGGCCCAGACGCGCCCACAGGGCCAGACTTGAAGGGAGGGATGCAGGCTCATCCCCAGCCTGGGGAGGAAGAAGATCAGCTCTGCACTAGGGACACTTGCAGGAGCCTCAGCCAGCATGCTGAGGTCCTACAGGCCAAAGGCAGGGTGGGGTCTGCTCTGCACAAGGCCATGCTCCCTCCCCATGACCACGTACCTGCACCTCCACCATCCAGTCCACCAGGATGGCACGCATGTCCCTGCTGATGTCTGGCTGCTTCTCCATGTAGTCAGGGAGCAGGAATTTCTCCTGCAGAGGTACCAGCTGTCAGGTACTCACTGGACCCTGAAAGGAGCCCCCTCCTGCCCCATGCAGGCCCCTGCCAGGTGCTCAGAGCCTCTGGGCAGCTTGTGGCCTTGCCCACACAGTCACCCCTTCCCCAGTCAGGGCTGCCACCCCCTGGCCAGGCATCACCCACCTCTCTTTCCCGCATGTATTCGAAGATCTCCTTGGCATACTCCGCATTGGCGTAGGGGTCACCCAGCTGCTCCTTGTCTATGTCCTCCACTGCCAGCACCTGGTGGGATAAGGCAGGCAGTGGTAAGGGGGAGGGCCCGAGCTCTGCAGGTACTGCTCATCCCTTCAGGGCAAGGCTGCTGCCCTGTTGCACCCCCTTCCCCATCTGCTCCCATCCCCCTGCAGCCCCCACCCCACTTTTTCCCCATGGGAGATCTTCTGAAGAAGGCGGTGGGGGGTTACCCTGCTCCCCAGCTTCCCATCACACTGGCCCAAGTATCTCTGAGTTCCAAAGCACTGCCTGGTGCCCCATTATCACCAGCAGGAGCCATAGACCAGCAGCACAAGGATGAGCCTGGGGGCCAGGCTGCAGCCCAGGGTCCCTACCTTCTCCTTGGAGGGCTTCAGTTCCTGTGCAGGCACCGGCTCCTCTGGCACAGGATCCTCCTTGGGCTCTGCAGGAGGTTCTGTCGAGGGAGTTTTCTTCATTGACCTGGACAGGACAAGAATGTAAGACATTGCTGGGAGGAGGCCACATCTCCTGGATGAAAGGGGTTCTCCAGAGCCGTTTGATGGTTCAGGAAGGGGCTAAACCACCCCTAAAATATCCCCATAAAGACCCAGAATCATTTAGGTTGGAAAAGACCTTTAAGATCATTGAGTCCAATTGTTAACTGAACACTGCCAAGCTCACCACTAAACCATGTCCTTAAGTGCCACATCCACGTATCTTTTAAATACCTCCAGGGATGGCGATTCAAACACTTCCCTGGGCAGCCTGTTCCAGTGCTTGACAATCCTTTCGGTGAAGAAATTTTTCCTAATATCCAATCTAAGCCTCCCCTGGTGCAACTTGAGGGCATTTTATCTACTGTCTGCCCTCCCCAACTGGCTCATGGTCTTCATCATCCAAAGGAAGCCCCCACCGCTGCCCCATGGGACAGGTTTACAGGTGTTGGCCCTGCAGCATCCCCCTGCCCCGGTCCCTGTCCCCATCTCCCCTGGCTACTCACTTTTTCAGGTTGATCTCGTTGTTCTTGGCCACTCCCAGGGCAGCATGGGCCCTCTGTGTCTTGTGTGGTGCCACTTTCACAGCCTCCTTCTTCCCTGCTGCCACCTGGTTCTTGTGAGCCTGTTTGGGTCAGAACAGGGGTATACAGAGGGGTGCACAGAGGGAAGCAAGGGGTGTCCTGCAAAGAGACCTCTCCTCCTGCTTGCCACTGCATGCTGGAGGGGATAGCCAGCCCCATTCCCATGGCGGGCTCAGAGGGGACACCAAAGCCCCACTCCCACAGAAGCACTCACGTTGGTGATGTCCCCGAAAGCTGATCTCTTCTTGGGTGCACCCTGGGGTGAGGATGGAGACCTCTTGGCCTGACAACTCTCTTCCTGCAATAGAGGCTGTTAGAAGATAGGGGTCCAGATGCTCCACAGGAGCCCCCCGCACCCCTTGCCCACCTTGGGACTCACCTTCTCAGGGTTGGCATTCTCCGCAGCATGGCCCACCTTGCCCGCTCGGGGCTGTTTGGTACTCAGCATCTTGGTGTTGCGTGGCAAGGGCATCCTCTCCTCAGGCTCTACAAGCAAGCTGAGAGCAGAGCAGGGCTGGACGTGGGCAGCTGCCTGCACCCAGGGACGCCCTCAAGGGCTAGGGGCAGACCCATGGGGCACCGGTGCAGCAGGGGCAGACCTCAGCCCTCTCCCCAAGCATGGCAGGCATATGGTGCCCTGAGGCAACCCCAGGGCGGGTGGGGATCTGGCTAGGGGTGCGGGGAAGGGCCAGTGTGCTCCTCCCAGGGGAGGGGGGGACATGGAGCCCCACGACGCCCACCAAAGCACCCTGGTGGGAGCACGAGGGAGGGGCGGCTCCCAGCTCCCCGCATCCCGGAAAAGGATGGAAGGTTTCCTACTCCCTTACCGCCCGCC